CCCCCTAGGGGCCGTCCCGCCCATGCCCGCCCGCTCCAGGCCCCGCCCCCGCCGCCCCCCAACCCGTACCCGACTCCTCGTCCTTCTTGTCAAACTTCTTAATCATGTCGCCGGCAGCGCCTTCCCCCTGCAACCCCGCTCCGCCGGAAGTCCCGCCTCGCTGCGGCTCTGCTCGCTGATTGGCCCGCGGCGCTGTCAATCGAGCTCCTCAGCCAATAGTATCGCAGGGAGCCTCCCGCCCTTCGTCAAGCCACGCCCACTTTCTCTCCTCCCCGGCGCTGAGGGGAGAGCGGGTCTTAAAGGAGCCGCGGCGCCATTTTGGGAAGGGACTGACAGACCGACCTGACAGACAGACCGACCCTCTGAACACCTTCTCCAAGAATAAACACGCATTCCAGCCGCCAGGAAGGTGTCCCTCCAGCGGGGGCAGCTCCCCTGCTCCCTCCTCCAAACACCGACGCTAAAAATGGGCTGTTTTGGGGTTTTTCTTAACACCTCAGGGCACGGGAAAGGGATCCTGGTTGGAGATTTCTCCAGGGATCTACTGGAGGGGGTCCAAGGGAGGCCACAAGGATGATGAAGGGACTGGAGCACCTGCCTGATGAGGAAAGGCTGAGAGACCTGGGGCTGTTCAGGCTGGAGAGGAGAAGATTGAGGGGGGATCTCATTAATGGCCTCAAGAAGGCAGGACAAGCTCTTGTCACTTGTGCCCTGGGACAGGACGAGGGGCAGTGGATTCAAACTGCAGCCCAGGAAGTTCCAGCTCAACATGAGGAAGAACTTCTTTGGTGTGAGGGTGACAGAGCCCTAGGACAGGCTGCCCAGAGAGTCTCCTTCTCTGGAGACTTTCCAGCCCTGTCTGGGTGCCTTTCTGAGTGACCTGCCCTGGTTTTATTCCTGCTCTGGCAGGGGGGTTGGACTCCATGATCTTCAGATCTCCCTTCCAACCCCTCACACCTTCCAGTTTCTGGGCTCCGGGTCCTGTTGATCTTCTCACCCACCATCACCCCCAACAAGCACTTGTCTTTTCCTCCTTGCAAAGCTCCATGAGGAATTCCCAACGTTAATTAAACCTAGGGGCAGATGTGGTTTCTCACAGGCCTTTTCCAGGACTGCAGCACATTTTGCTCTGCACAAGGCAAGATTCCCAACTTCCCATCGTTTCCAGCAAAGGCTGGGAAGCTGAATTTTACAAAGAACTGCTTCCAAGAGGAAGGATTTTCCCCACCCTGTGACCCAACCTGCCTCTGCTAATCTGTTGTGCAGCAGGCAAATGACATCAGGCACAAGTGGTGTGAGTTTTTCTTACCCTGGAGGAAAAGAAAGAAAACCCAAGCCCCACGTGACAGACGTGGATGTGCTCCTAGAAAGTCAGGGTGGAAAGAGCCCCACAAACCTTCCTTCCTCTATTTCATGCTCAGAGAATGAAAAACGTGTGAACAGAAGGAATTTTGCTTTCAGAGAAATCCTCTGGGGGGTGTTATTTGCAGGCAAAAAGGGGTCAAGTCCAGGCCTCCAGCTGGAAATTTTTCAGCCTTGGGTTCCATCAGTGACTGTGATTGGTTATTTGTTCCAGAATAAGTAAATCTCCCCTCCTGGGATCTGATGCAACAGAATCAACTAAAAGCTTCTGACATCAATCTCCTGGTTCTCTTTGAGAAAAGACTGCAGTGCTTCTCACCAAAGGCCTTTCAAACAGAGAACTGAAATTCCCAAAAAGTCAAGAAACACAGAAGTTCAAGGCCCAGAGCAACCCCGGGGCAGAAAAAACCCTTTTGTGGTTTTACCAGAGCTTCCCCCACCACCCTCAGCACTCCAAATGGAAAAGGAGCCGAATTTCCCTTCAAAATCCCAGTGGAGATCCCCTGAGCTGTGCACAGCCCAGCCTGTCTCACACCCAAACCCTGCTGCATTCCCCAGTAAAGCCACAGTTCCAGGAAATCCACCGTAAAATCATGGAATGGGTTGCGTTGGAAGGGACATTAAAGAGCATCCTGTTTCAACCCCCTGCATGGGCAGGGACGCCTCCCACCAGCCCAGGCTGCTCCAAGCCCCATCCAACCTGCCCTTCAACACTGCCAGGGATGGGGCAGCCACAGCTTCTCTGGGCAACCTGGGCCAGGCTCTCCCCACCCTCACAGCCCAGAATTTCTCCCTCCCATCTCAGCTCCAGCTCCCTCTGCCAGCTGGAAACCCTTCCCCCTGCTCCCATCCCTCCCTGCCCTTGTCCCAAGTCCCTCCCCAGCTTTCCTGGAGCCCCTTCAGGCACTGGAAGCTGCTCTAAGGTCTCCCTGGAGCCTTCTCTTCTCCAGGCTCAACACCCCAACTCTCCCAGCCTGTCTCCAGAGCAGAGCTGCTCCAGCCCTCCCAGCATCTCTGTGGCCTCCTCTGGCCTCTCTCCAACAACTCCATGTCCTTCTTGTGTTGGGGACCCCAGAGGTGGCCTCAGCCCTTCAGGGGGGTCTCAGCAGAGCAGAGGGGACAATCCCCTCCCTGGCCCTGCTGGTCACTCTGCTGGTGACACCCCAGGACACAGGTGGCTTTGATGGCTCCTGTTGAGCTTCTCCTCACCCAACACCCCCAGGTCCTTCTCCTCAGGGCTGCTCTCCATCCATTGTCCTCCCAGCCTGGATCTGTGCCTGGGGTTGCCAAATTTGGACCCATTTCTCTCATAAAGCTCAGAAGAAGCTTTTGGAAAGGCAGGATCCTCTCTGGACAGATGCCACAAACACAGCAGGGGCTCCTACCCCTCTGGGCAGCAAAACCACTTCATTTTGACCAATTCTACTAATTGACATCCAAAAAATGATGTTTTCCTGTGTGCACCAACACATAAAAGCTGTAGCAAATGTAAGTGCAGGTATTTTAGATTTTACCAGAAGATGGCCTTGCCTAGAAATGCCAAGCTCTGGATCGTCTTCTTCTCCTTCTCCTTTTAAGTTGTTGGCTGGGAAGAGGGATGGTGAAACCCTCTGAGAAGATAGAAGATGGGTTCAGCCCTTGGTTATCTCCACACCCCACCAAGGAGGGATCCTTTGAGGTCTCATCCTTGTCTTGGAACATGGGACAAGGACAGGATGGGAAGGGTCTTTTGACGTTGTGTGTTGGGGGAGAGGCCTCCAAGGGCTCCCCAAGACAAGGACCAGGCACTACTTAAAACCAGCAGCCAGACTCATTCAATAACTCTGATTTTTGTAGATGTGCCCTCCTCAGGCACCACCATTCTCCAGTTTTGGCCAAGAGAAGCTCCCAGGGAAAGTCCTTCTCATCTCCTTGGGGTTTTGTAGCTGCAGAGCTTGTTCTCACAAGGAAAGCAACCTCACTCAGAAGCTGTGATGGCACGACTGGGTTTGAGGTGGTGTTTGCAGCATGTTTGGAGGAGGATGAAGTCTCTGCAGCCTGGATTTTCTTGACCAAACCCCAGCATCACCACCCTCAGCTTTTACCTTCTGTTAAGCATGTTGTGATCTCTCACCTGCTGGTGGCTTTTCAGAGCACTCCTGGGAAACCTGCCCTGGCCAGACTACACAGGGTAAAGACTCTGCTCAACCAACCAACAACAAGGCAACCAGTGAAACAAGCTCTGGGTTACCCCTGACCTGGTCACCTACTGGTGCAGCAGCTTCTAGTCGTGATCCTCTGGTAAACTCCTGCTCCTCAAGGCTTACAATCACACCTGTTGCTCTTCTTAAAAGACACTTGGCAGGGTCAAGTGGTTTGGCAACCTGTTGAGCCACCCTCTTCTGCTCCAGGGGATGTTAACTGAGGGTAATGATCTCTCCTTGATGAGAGAATTAGCTGATCTAGGTGAACCACATGCCTTGGGTGAAGCTGCTCTGGAAGGGGGGTTGGACTAGATGATCAGAAACACCTGCCTGATGAGGAAAGGCTGAGAGACCTGGGGCTGTTCAGGCTGGAGAGGAGAAGAGTGAGTTGGGATGTAAGGAATGTCTATCAATACATGAGGCATCAAGAAGGCAGGACAAGCTCTTGTCACTTGTGCCCTGGGACAGGACCAGGGGCAATGGGTTCAAACTGGAGCCCAGGAAGTTCCAGCTCAACATGAGGAAGAACTTCTTTGGTGTGAGGGTGACAGAGCCCTGGGACAGGCTGCCCAGAGAGGCTGTGGAGTTTCTTCCTTCTCTGGAGACTTTCCAGCCCTGTCTGGGTGCCTTTCTGAGTGACCTGCCCTAGTTCTGGTCCTGCTCTGGCAGGAGGGTTGTACTGGATGATCTTTGGAGGTCCCTTCCAACCCTGAACACCCTGTGATTCTGTGATCAGTGCTAATTGGCCATGAACTGTTATCCCCCAAATAGCCCTGTGGGGCAGGGGGCAATTTTACCCCCTTTCCCCCTCCCCATACCCCCTTTTTCCCTGGTATCTCACCCTCTCCTTCCCCTGCTCTTGCATCCACCCCCTCCCCGATATTCCACCCCCCTCGTTATTTCATCTCCCCCCAAGGTGTCTGACCCTCCCCCTTCCTTCCTTTATTATTGTACCCC